TAACTAAGTTGTAAGTCTCTGCCTTTATTCATTATCATTTCAGTGCAAAGAGAAGACAAGGCAGCTTTGGGGGTGGAGAAGAGAAGTTCTTCTGCATGTTTCATCCAGGGTTTTGTGTGTTTTTAAACCAATGTTCACTTTTCCCATTAGAATCAATACAGCAAATATTTCCTTTTCTTCTTGCAACTTACAAAACCAGAATGCCAAACCCATCGCCCAAACCCCTCCCAACACTCCAAAGTGTTCTGTTTTGCTCCACAAACCCATTATTAGGTGATCCAGCCCCCTCTGCAACTGCACAGGAGTAACCTTGGTTTCATTTCCATGCTCCCCATGCTGTCTATTTCTGCTTCTCTCTGGGAGTGTTTCCATTACAACATTTTATTGTAGCCAACCTCGAATCTCAATTTCATAGTCCTCATTAGAGTTATTCTATTTTAACCTGCTTGCTTACACTTTTAAAGCTGATATCTGTCTCATTCAAAGGAAACACTTCCACATTCTATATGGAAATATTACCAGTATTTTAAGATACCAGTTTTACAGAAATCATTTATACCACACATCCCTGGAGCTTTGGAGTATCTTAAGGTTTCCTTACCCCCAGATAGCTCTGACTGCAGAGATTCGGACAGAAGGAGGCTGGGTTTCATGTAGACCACTGACAGTAGCTTGCAGGAACTGCTGGATTAGTTCTGGAGACATAGCCACTGTGAAACGGCTGGCAGCCCACAGAGCACGACCCAGGAGAAAAGGAGACACTGAAAAAAACCAAAACAAAATACCCCAGTGGTTTTAGAGTGTAAATTTTAAAATTACAGCTGCTTCCATCCATTAGCAAAAATTTTGTCATTCCAGTAGGAAAATGGTAAGACTTCACACAGAAGATCAGTATGCAGGCATAGAAAGAATTATTATTCGTGGTCTGAATCCAGTTTATTTTCTTAGTTATTTCAAAAAATAATTTCTTGTTTGTTTAAAAAAAATCCCCTTCTTCCCTCAACTAGTTAAATTTGACTTTTTTTTCATCAATACAGGAAGACATGCTTTAGTGATCATCAGAACAAAAGCCAGGGAAAAGAATGAAGGCTCTTTCAGTAATTCCTATTCATGTAGCTCAACACTGTCCTCAATGGCAGCAAATAGCAGAAGCTTAGGGTAAAGAATAAGAGAAACAGTGCACATATACAGGGATCTTCTACAGACTGCTTTTCTAGATTCCAGCCATCACCCTGAAATTACAGACCATAATGTTCAACAGCACCAGAGAAACAGTGAATACTCATCACCTACTCACCTGTTCACTTTTATCAAGGAATGAGGTATCTTTACCACACTTAACCCTTCTGCCTTTTCAGGTTAAAAGTATCCTTATCTATTTAGGCTATCCTCAAACAGATCATGCCTTCTATTTCTCAGCATCTTTATTGCCATTACTTATACTACTGCAAGTATTGATTTTAAGATGAGGACATAAAAACTTGCTGTGTATCTTGCATGGAGAGAAAAGTCTTTGCTTTCTAAGCGAGTATTACAAAAAGCACTATTTCATTGTCTTATTACCATTATTGAGCATTAAATGAACATCCTCTGAGAAATATCTATATACTGAATCCAGGAGCTTCTTCTAGAGCACAACAGCTCATTTACAACCAAAGCCATATATGTAAATGTGTGTAAATATATGTAAAGAGCTGAGGTTGGGTTTTTTTTACAAATGCACTATACACTTGACACAGTATTTCTTCACTTAAAATTAACTCAGAATAAAAGAAAACACGCTAATAGCCTAAACAAATATTTCTTTGACCAAAGTGGTAGGAGAAGGGGTAACGGGTTTAAAGTGGGGAGGTTTAGATTAGATATCAGGAAGGAATCCTTCCCAGAGAGGGTGGGGAAGAAGTGGGACAGGTTGCCCAGAGAAGCTGTGGATGCCCCATCCCTGGAAGTGTCCAAGGCCAGGCTGGATGAGGCTTTGAGCAACCTGGGCTAGTGGAAGGTGTCCCTGCCCATGGCAGGGGGGTTGGAACTAGATGATCTTCAAGGTCCCTTCCAACCCAAACGATTCCATGATTCTATGAGACAACTTAATGTGGATGCACCAATAATGCTTATGTTGGCTTAAACTTTTCAAATTTTAATTATTTTCAAGGACTCAACAACTCCTTTGACTTTCCTGCACACTGAGGCAAGATAACACAGAAAGCAGAAGCTTGCAGAGATCCCAATAACAGAATCCCATTCAGCTACGAATATTATTTGAATTCACATGCTCTGACTAGTGTCAGCCCCAACATAAAGAAAATGGGATGGTATATTTCCGCAGGAATTTTTACACCTGTTAAATACTGCTGGCGTCTTTCCAGGAAACTGATATAAGACAACAGGACAGCTATTTTACCACCAAGTTCACCAAGCAATTGCTGTTCCATCTCCAAGCCCTACAGGCTCAAGCATCCGGACAATACTGAGTTGCAACCAAAGGCATATTTTCCTCCATTTAAATGACTTATACTAGACCTGGCAGCATGTGTAAACTCACAAGATAAGCAATGTGCACAACTGCATTTCCACCACCACACACATAGAGCAACCTGATGCAACAGACACTTCAGTTTGCAAGAGACTGCCATGGTCTGGCACTCAGCAGTTACTCTGAGAAATGGCAAGGGCCAATGTACCTGAGAGGTTGAGGTCTGAAAGAACAACATTTGTCAGGAAGCCATGCATATCAAAATGTATTCTACCATTCTTCACACTGTCTGTAATAATAGACTTCACAGAACCCAGGGCCAGCATACAAGCTTCATGTATTTTCCACCTGCAAAAGAATTTAGATACCTTTAGGTTTTTCTCCCCAGCATTGACTCAACAAATAAATTAAAATTCTGAAGTGAAGCCATAAAATTTTTTTGGTCTAAGCTACCACAATTATTTTCTTGATCCCAAAGCACAGAATTTAGAAAAGCCCTGAAAGAAATGAACATATACAAAACTTAGCAAGCTGGGTGCTTGGAAACTCATCCCGGATAGGCAGCATTCTCAATTACTTTCTAATATACCGGTGTAGAATAATTGTTACTTCTTGTACCAATTTTGTTCCCATAATAAAAAAAGAAATGAGACCTTCCTATGAAAGCTTACATCTCCAGCTGTGCCTTACCAGATTATTCTATGTGTGGAAGCACTGATACCCAGTACATTAACAGCTTTAAAATGTCAATTTTTGCATTATGTTTTGTTCATTGTGATAAAATAGGGTTATGGGCAAATACCACTTCTCCTTGGTTTTATTTGTGAACCTATTAATTGTGGTAAGTTTTTAAGTAGGTTAAGGCAGATGGGGAGTCAAGTGTCCAATTTCTCTGATATGCAGCTGCTGCTCACTATACAGTGGCTACTTTGATACTAATACTCAAACACAAACACTGAACTAATACACTGTAAAACCAAGAGAGAATAGTTATGGAACGGTGTGCTGGGTTCAGTCAGGAA